ACCCAGGTAGAAAGGTATTGGGTAAAGGAAGGAACAGCATCTTGTGTGAGACGAAGGCGAGGGGATCGATAAGGAGCTGATGTCGGGGCAGAGAAGGAGAGCCTGAGATGGGTAGTAACGGCAAGATGGTCACTATACAGAGCAGGCTCGGTGCAGACGGTAGGATGAAAGGAGGTATGACCGTTCAATAGTAAGCCAACATCAAGGAAACTATGGGGGAGGCGAGTAGGATCGTCAGGACAAAGAAAGCGAACATCATCATCCCCATTAAGAAACTGTGAGAGATGTGATCCATTAAGGGTACATGGCGTGGGATGATCCGGAATAAGAGTGGGATGGCGGGCATTAAAGTCGCCAAGAACAATAGTGGGAATCCCATCATGGAGGTCGTGAAGAACCTGGGGGTCCAGAGAATTACTCTTGAAATGAACACTGACTTCACGAAGGGTCTGGTCACCAAGAGTAAGGGAGACAGAAAGTAATTCAGACGGGGGTCCATGTGAGTCAGGTGAAGGGAGACGAACAGATGGAATGGTGTTACGCACAAGGGTGAGGAGGCCACGAGCCTGCCCACGGTACCGAGGCAGGGTGTAAACAGTATAGCCAGAGAGGCGGAGTGGAGTAACATCGTCTGTGATGGTTTCCTGAAGTAGAGCAACATCTACTTGATGGGAGAGCACAAACTGGGCGAGGTCTGTCCGGCGAGGTCTAATTCCCTGGATGTTCCATTGTAAGAAGAGGAGGGAACGGCCTCCGGTGTGAGATGAGTCGGAGAGGCTAGACAGGGCTCCAGAGAAAAATGGAGAGGGAGGAGTGGGAGAGCGAGGGATGGATCCTCCATCTCGGGAGATGGAAGGAGGCTGGTTATCAGGGCTTGCAAAGTGCGCCCCTGTTGGGTCAGGGTGTCCAGAATGAGTTGTTGTTGCCTCTGCAATGTCGTAATTGTTTTCACAAACAAGTCGAGTTGGGCAGAGAGAAGGTTGATTTGCTTGGAGTGGCGATCCAGACGGAGAGTGATTGTTTCCATAGAACCAACTTGGTGTACCTGTACAGGAGCTGGAGGTGGCGGCGAGGATTGCCGAGGCCCGACTGGGCATGTGGTGGTGGTAGCGACGGAGAGGGACGGTGAGGGTTCAGTTGAGTAAGAGGTGGTGGTGCTGGTGCTGGTGAGAGACAGCGGGGGTCCGGGTGGGCAGATGGTGGTGACTGTGTGGCAGGGCCGGCAACGACCTTGTTCCAAGAACGGTAGGGAGAGGGAGAGAGGGGAGAAAGGATGGGTGGTAGGGGTGATAAGGGGGATGGTAGAGGAGAGGAGATCAATGGGAAATCCTTGGTGGATGGAAGAGGCGGTGGTGGATAGGAGTGAGGTTTGGTTGACAGGGGCTTCGTCAGAGACGAGGGCGGTGGTACAAGGTAAGTTTTCCCCGGGCGAGTGCCAGGACGCTGTGGGCAATTGGCATTCCAGGCGTGGTGACTGCCATGGCAATTGACACACCGTGGAATAACTGGGATTTTGTTCTGAATTTTCGATTTGTATTCCACTGTTTCGTGAGGACCTGCACAGAAACCGTAGGCGACCATCCTCGGGCACTCCCAGGTGCGGTGTTTCCACGATTGGCAACGACCACAGATTTTCGGGGTTCCGATAAATCGGTTGAGAGGACAGTTGTAAATTGGTCCTACATTCACCTTCGGAGGGAGGGGGCCCACCCACCAGCCGATGAGTTCGTTGGATGGACTTTTGGAGACCGGGTTGATGCGGCGTTCCATGTCCAGTAGTTGTGGGAGAAGAGGGCGAAGATCGTCGATAGGGATCTCCCAGGGTACGTGGAGAACCATTACCTTGGTATGACGAGTTTCTGGGGTGATGAAGGTGAACTTCAGCATCACCTCCCCTTGGGGAGCAGGAAAGCCCACCTGAGTGAGCAGGCGTACCGTCTCGTCCATTTGTGTGGTGACTATCACGGCTGTGGGACCTCGGCGGAGGCGAAGTGTTGAGTCCTGAAGTGGAGAGCAGTGACGGAAGAACCAGGTCGTCCGTGTGCTCAGAGGCAAGTCCCGAGGGAAGGCGAGACGACGAAGGCGCGACGGGGCAGGGAGACAAAGGGAATCCCCTATGTCCATCGTCGGCGGAGGGTCGGTCATTGAGCCACATGTAAGCTCACTTGGGGACCCCGATGACAGGAGGAGTCCACCCTCTACAGCCCCAGAAGGGGTGCAAGGGGGAGCCGTGGCCCCTGCTGGAGACCCTGACTTCTGAGGTTTCTGCTTCTTCTTTGACGTGTCTTCAAGAAGAAAGTCGTCAGCATCACTGTCACCTACTGCCGCTGTTTCCAACGAAAGGGAACGTTTAACGGCGGGCATAGGGCACGTTGGCAACACTGCAGTCAGGTGGAGTGGTAATGACGTCACTGCTGCGTCACACTATCACATTGTGCATGCGCAAACTTGAAAAACTTTGCTCAGAGGGATCGGGTGGTAGGACCAGATGATTTATCCCCAAAAAATGACAAAGTCCAAAAGTAAAAAAAAAAAAATATATGCCACTGTGCTGATAACTGGGTCTTACTATAGTTGTCTGCACAGGCTGGGATTGGTAGACTCGCTGAATTCGTCAGAAATACGAATTTTAAGGAGCAGTCTCTTACAGCCTTTGTTGACACTACGCACGCATGCGCATTCACTGGTTAATTTAATTAGGATTTTTTTGTGTCAATATATTTGGTTATGCTAAGTACTGCATAAGTTCATAACCAGGATGTCATCCAAGGTGTGCGCCAAACAAAATTTTCTAAAAACTTACTTTTCATTAAAGTTTAGAGTTTTCTGTTTATTTCCATGACTAAGACCAACAATAAGTTATATAAAAATGCACTGGTATAATGACTAAGACCAACAATAAGTTATATAAAAATGCACTGGTATAATGACTAAGACCAACAATAAGTTATATAAAAATGCACTGGTATAATGACTAAGACCAACAATAAGTTATATAAAAATGCACTGGTATAATGAGTAAGACCAACAATAAGTTATATAAAAATGCACTGGTATAATGTGTATGTGGTTGGTATTGCACATTTACATGAATAATGAATAAGGCCGATAGGTTGTATGTGAATGCAAATTAATTATTTGTGAAATTGTGTACAGTGTACACCTTGATAAGTTGATCATCATCTGATCTTGGCATGATGCTATTTGCTACCTATGCTATACAGTACTACAGTATAGTTTTTAGATTCGTTTAATACTTTCTGTCTTTTCGTACAGTAAATAAAGATTATAAAGTGTATGTTGAAACTTGAATGTAAACTAATGTTTAATTTCATTTGTTCATTTAATTATTTGTGTACACCTTGATCATCATCTGATCTTGGCATGCTATACCTTTTTGGAAAGCTCTATGTCTAAGCTACAACATATGAAAATTTCAGCTCTCTAGGTTTGTTTTTAAGGGTTTTGGAGCAAAAAAAAAACCGAAGCTAAATTCATATAATAAAAGTTAGCGGTTCGCGTTAGCTTCCGCTAATATTTTTAGCTGTTTAACGGTTTAGCGTTAGCGAAGTTAACTTTTTAGTTAGCGAAGCTAACTTTTCGTTTAGCTGTGCCCACCACTGTTAAAATGCACATCCTTGTATGTTAGGCAGTGAAACAGGTGGCAGCAAGTTGCAGTCATATAAAAATATTTCATACAATATACATTTATAGTACAGTACTGTATAGATCTAGAATCTATTACAGATATGTTATATGATCATTCATTTCTTGAGGCTTTATTTGTTTACAGTGACCATACCTATTGTGAATGTACAAGTGCAGCTTACCGTATATACTGTAGTACTGTAATTTGTAAAACCTGAGTTGTAGTACAGTACAATACAGTGCTGGAAACATTATTCAGAGAATTCATGTTGCCAAAAACTTCTATGAAATATTTTTCTTTCCAAGAGATACAGAGTCTTAAGACTAGCCACAACAAAATGGTTCTCTATTACTTTCACCACTGATCGACTCGTTGGCTGCTTGGGCAGTCGGTCACGTCTCTGATACGCACTGTTGGCAGATACTGGGCATGCACTGATTCCTGGATATATTTGAACCTGCTCCAGTGTTGATCAAGTCTGGCCTTGAATGAGCTCACACTCGGTGCCGTCACAACGCTCTCTGGCAGAATATTCCAAGAGTTTACAATTCTCACTCCGAAAAAGTTTGCCCTCACAGTTTTCTGGACTTGTGGCTTCTTCAACCTTGAGCAGTGAGCCCTTGTGGGGCGGACGTCCACCAGCTCCAGTATGTACTGTATGGCTTAATGCCAAGAGGTTGCATATGGCCTAAAAATGTACCAGGTGCATTGCCCAAAGCATTCAAGGATAATACATGTATACCATAGACATTGTCAACAGGGCCCATAAGACCTAAAAAATTGTCTCAAGTATAACTGTGTCCTAAAATACTGTTCAGTGAATCCTCAAAGATCCGAACTAAAAGGGAGAACCACCTGTCCAAAAAAGCCGATTGTCTGAATCTTCCGGCGAATGTACTAAATAAATCAAAACGATAATGATATAAAAGAAAACCAAAATTACAGAACATGTTATCTTGACCACTAGGGTTAGTTTTACAGACTTTTTCCTGCGAAAAAAAACATAATTTTGAGCAACATATTACTGTACTCAAGAGTCGATTAGTAGTGAAGATGGTAAAAGTAAAGGGCTAAAATATTTATTTCTTGCGCAAACTATGTCATGTTTATACTCAAATTATCCACTATCTTGCAAGGATTCCAGCAATCAAATTATATTCTGCCAAGTTGACTCTGTGACATTTTATCAGATAAAAACTTTAAGCCTAAAACTACTTTCACCCTGTTTTGGGAATGCTTTTTAGGGAGGCTTCTTAGTCCAGAACCCCAAAATATTTTGTCTGAATCTTCGAGGTTCACTGTACTGTGTAGAGATGCATTAGGCCTAAAACATACTAGAGCTTCATTTAAACAATGTGTAGGACCTAAGACTTACTAGAAATATTGTTCAGACGATGATTCTGATTCGTTGCTGAAACTGAAGTTGCCGGCAGCATCGACACAGTTCTCGTCAGCCCAGGAGTCATAGTCACAGAAGGACCAGGGCAGGACTTTATTAAAGGACATGAGGAAGTAAAACACTGTCATCCCCATGATAGCGCAGTAGTAAGTCACCACTGACCATGTGGCGATCATCTGTCCATAACCCACACCTGTGTAGATAAGGAAATGAAAATATAATACAATACTGTATACTGTAATGTTAATAATAACTGATATTTAATGATGCAATAATATAATCTGTACAGTGAAATTGCAATGACAATAATAATGTTACTGTATGTATGGTAAAGACAATCATAATTTAATAAGGATACAGTGATAACAATAAATCCAATTAAAAATTATATAAAATGATGATAATAATACAGTACTGTACTGTACAGTAATTGATGACAACAGAATCATTGTACATCTGCAGTTATTATCATTTATGATAATTGACGACCTGATGATCTTTTTACCTGTGACATTCATCATTAAAGACTATGAAGTATTATGAATAATGCATAATAAACTGTAACAAACATTTAAGTCCATGGTATAGTCTCTTGCCTCTTGAGACTACTGTACTGTACAGTAATAAATTTTCTGTCATATACAGTCAACCCTCACTTTACGCGGTCCCACATTCCGCGTTTCCACATTAACGCGGTGCCCTGCCAGAACCTAACGTGCTCACATTACGCGGTGCGTGAACCCCCTTACGCGGAGAGTGTCCGGCGCGACGCTATTTTTAGATTCGCCCCACCCGCCTGCCTGCCTGCCTGTGCTCTCGCCTCTCCCTCCTCCTCCCTCCGCTTGGGCAAGCCACGCGGGAAGGTTGCGCAGTGTGTGTCTTTGTTGCGTTATCACTGACGTCATATGACGTATCGGACTGTGATTGGCCATGCATCCCTACCCCCCTCTGCTGCTAGCTGTAATTGGCTTAAAGTATTATGACGTGTCCACCCGGGGGAGGGAGAGAGGGAGGAAAGACGATCCTTGACCTAGCCGCGCCAGTTTCATCCCTCCACGCCAGACCGTGTAAACGTGCATCCATTGTTCTCTAAAATGGCTTCCGCCGGACCACCACCCCCAGAGAGAAACCTTTCCTTACCTGGACCCAGTGGCACTAAGCCAAAGAAGACACGACGTTCCTTAAGCTACGAGGTGAAGTATACCATCATCCAAGAGTTGGAGAAAGGAACAAGGCAGGTTGATTTGGCGCGCCAGCATGGTGTGAATGAATCTACGATTCGAACAATAAAGAAGGATGCAGCCAAGATAAAGGAGCACATGAAGATCACAAAGTCTACAGGTGCTTCTATGATCAAGTATTTTCACAACCAGGTGCTTCTCAAGACAGAAAAATTACTTGTGAGGTACTTGGTGCGTCAGGCGCGACGGAACATGGCGGTCGACACGCGCTCTGTTAAGGAGTACGCACGTGAACTGTACATTGCAGTGGCACGAAAGATGGGAATTACAGAGCCCAAACCCTTTAATGCTTCCTCTGGGTGGTTACAGAGGTTTATGATCCGGAACAAGATCACCAATATAAACATTGGTGGTGAAGAAGCGAGTGCTGACCATGCTGCGGCTAGGGAATTTCCTCCGTTTTTACGTGAGATTATGGAGGAAGGACAGTACAGTGACGACCAGGTGTTTAACATGGACGAATCTGGTCTTTTCTGGAAAAAGCTACCTTCCAAGTCCTTCGTTGTAAAGAATGCCAGCAAGATTCGGGGCCGGAAGATGCAGAAGGAACGCATCACCGTCCTGTTTACCACCAATGCCTCCGGTACCAGTAAGCTCAAGTTATCGGTGATCCACACAGCACGCAAGCTGCACGCCTACAAAACCATGGACATGACCAAGCTAAATGTCCACTGGCTGACCGCACGTAAGGCGTGGATGTTCTCTACACTGTTCCTCTCCTGGTTTGATGACTGTTTTGTTCCCGATGTAAAGAAATTCTGTGAGCGACAGAATGTGCCATTCAAGATTTTGTTGCTGCTGGACAACGCACCAGGACACTCACCCCTACTGTTAGATCGTCACCCCAACGTAAAAGTGGTCTTCCTTCCTCCCAACACTACGTCTATATTACAGCCCATGGACCAAGAATTAATCTGTAATGTAAAAGCTGCATTCTCTACGAAAAAATTCAAACTCCTGAACGACTACACCAACACCAGGGAAGAGTTGCGTAACCTGAGTGACGCCACCACCGATAGCAAGAGCGAAGAAGATGAGGATCAACAGTTGGCACAGCAAAAAATACTGTTCAAACAATTCTGGAGAGTATTTAACATCAAGAAAGCTGTGGACTTCTTGGTGGAGTGTTGGGATCAGCTGTCTATTGCTACAATTCGTCACGCATGGAGACATGTGTTGCATGGAATACCAGGTGAGAGGAGGAGTCAATCTGTGACTGGTGAGGTTCAGACTGTTGCAGTAGCAGTGGACCTTGCCAGAGAAGCTGCGCAGACTGTTACAGTTCCAGGCTTCTCTGAGACCACCAACGACGACATCCTGGAGGTGATAATGGAACCTGCTGTGACTACCGACGAGATGGTAGATGATGATGACGACGTCAGTGAAGAGGCAGGTGGTGCGACATCCCAAGAAGAACAACACTTATCCCATAGTAATGTTAGGGGTGCCATCGAGTGTATCGAGAAAGCCAAGCTCCTCCTTTCCGAAGACCCTGACGCAAACAGGTATGAAATCTTCACTACCCAGCTATTGCAGACTATGGAGCCCTACTTCAAGGTGTATCACGATAACATCAACACCAGCCGTCAGCAAAGCATAACAGATTTCTTCGCCCGCAACCCACCACAGCCAGCCCAGGCCAGTGATAGTGACAGTGAAGATGACTCCGAGGGATTTGTCAGGAAGCCCTGACAACTGTAAGTGACAGTGATGGTGATGCACCTAGTAATGGTGATTCACCTGAGGGCCAGTAGCCTGCCCTCTGCCTCGGAACCAGCCTCCATCCCCGTACACCGACCCATCTCTTCTACTAACCTAAGTGTTCCACATAACTTTTAGTTTTCCTAACCTAACCTTTATTTTTCCTATATTAACCTTTAATTTTCCTATATTAACCTTTATTTTTCCTAACCTAACCTCTTCTATATTACTTGTTTTTTCATACCATCATAAAGTTAAGATAAAATTTTTACTACAACATAGTTGTGTGTCGTCAAAAAGTGGAGTTTGGGGGTCGGCCCGGACTCTATTTCAATTAATCCCATATGTTATGTTATTCACTTTACGCGTTCCTCACTTTCCGCGGGACCCTGCGGGTTACAGTAACCGCGTAAAGTGAGGGTTGACTGTACCCGTTGACTGTACCCGGTACAGTAGTGTACTCTTCTAGAAACATGATGGGCTATTGAGAAACTGGCAGTATCTTGCACCTGTAGAGGCAGATATAGAATTACTGTACAGCCCCGTACTGTACTTTTAATGGTATTTATGAAAAGTGTGACTTTTTCCTAGCCAAAATTTTGACTTTTTTTCTGACTTTTTCCATTCACCATCTGACCATAGGTTGACCAGTCAGTGTCCAGCTATGTTCCCAACCAGCATAGAGGTGCATCTCACTTGATCAGCCTCATGTGGAATATACCAACTGTGTCAAGAGAGTTCAGTAGGTGCACTTCAACTGTGAGTCCCATGCGGTGAATTAGTGCACCAGGTAGGGATTTTTCATCTGTGTTAGGATGCTCTCTGCAGGTCTGGGATGGAAGTTCAAAGTGGAGTGATTTATTTTGTGGGTATTGATACTGACTTTCACTTGTTCACCCCGTACTTGACCTCTTGACCCCATTCTCTCTACCAAACCCCACCACATAAACTCTTTTCTTGTGCACTGTACAGGTATTTCCCTACTTATGACCTATTTATGATAGGGTTGCATCCCTGAAAACCTTAACGTAAAGCAAATTAACATGGATTTCAGTGGGATATATTCCTGGCCTGTTCGACACAGACAGGTAGTACAGAAAAAAATGAGCTCACATTAGTTAAATGAATAAAAAAAAAATAAACAACTTTTACCACATTAATAATAACAAGCCTGCCGCTTAACAGTGTCTAACTTCAGATCCAGAGACACAGTTTTTTTCGAAGCCTTGCTTTTCCCAGAGGTGGGAGACTCAGCAGGACGCTTGCTAGCCATTTTCAAAGTTACAAAATTACTGTACTACACTAATCACTTTACAATCACCAAAACAGAAAAATCTTTATGACAAAGTATCACAGAGATCAAAAGATTATGCAACGGTTTATTACATGAGTGAGGGCAGATGTAATCATATTACCGGTAAACAAAATGCAGGACTGTACTTCGCATGGTGGTTGCGAGGCTGCGAGTGGGTAGGTGAACTGATCGGAGGGTGAAAAAAGTTTCTGCTCATATCGGCCAATTCGGATTTGACAAGTGAAGGGAAAGATTTACTTCCCCAGTATTTACATTCCGTATCAGTGAGTTTAGTCTTACGATATCACCTAATTAACGTTAATGTGGATTATTGTAAACGGATGCTCATAAATAGGGGGATACTGCACCTGTATATCGCTATCAGTTCTGTGCCACATCCCTCAACAGTCAAGTCTGCCCTACAACAAGAGACTTATCCTATTTCCTGTATATTGTAGGATCAGAAGTGGTAACATCACCAAGGTACAGGAGTGTACTAGCAACAAAATAATAAGTTCTGAGATTATTAATTAATAGGAAGTCTTGTATTAAGGGTGTAAAAGGGAAACTAAGATGGTAATTATTGGCACACCACAACTTGACGATCTAAGCTCCATCCTGTTTCTATGGTTATTAATGCTTACTGCAGACTATTCCAAATGAACTTAAGCATGTAACCATCAGTGTGCCAATGTACCCTTATCCAACATGCAGGAACGTAGGAATACACAGTTCCTCTTTGACCGTGTCCAGAGAATGCATACCATATACGGTATAATACTGCACTGTACTGTATGGTGATCTCAGTCTTGTCACCTCCTATGAGAAAATCATTGCAGGACATTATCCTAAATGGTAGTACTATGAGGGCTTGAGCTGCCACCATTTATGAGGGCTGCTACTGCCACCCTTCATGAGGGCCTGTGTGCCAGTAACAATTCCTTTTACTCTTATATA